GTTATGGATTAGTGTAGCCTGCATTAAAAAGTCTTGAACATAAAACAATTAGGATAAAAAATATAGTTGATGACTAGACATAATCATTTCATGACTCTAGACACTTCTTTGTGAAAACAGTGGCATAATACAGTGAAATATGTTATTTAGCCATATAAATACAGTTGTCATGTGCGTGGGTAAAATTTACCCGTTGGCGCTTTTAGGTATACAGCGACCTCTGGCGGTTCTAGTGTTAAGTGACTCACATGTACAGAGACAGAGAGCTGGTATGCCTCTGGCTTTGGCAGCCGCTTCAGACATGTTGTTCTGATTTATGTAGTTTTACACATTATAACTCATTACAGTATGTCTGGAGACTATAAAACACACTGCTCAGACTGGCATTCAGCCCGAGGCCACACTAACCTGTCAACCTGTGTGCTGTTATTACAGTTAGGTAACGACTTGAAGAGTATGTTCACAATGGAACACTAGCATATGAATTACTGTACAGCATGTACCATATATATGTTCGCACAAACACATGCACACCCTTATGGTAATACATGGACATTTTGTTACAGTGGAGGGTGTAATATCAGAGTTAACACTGTGTTCTGATTCATGCTTTTGAGTGTTTGGTTCAAACACACACATTCACATACTCTTTCACACACACCTGACCTTCAGCCAGACACTGTGTTCTAATCCTGCCAGGAACCTGTAAATCTGCTTCATTAAAGGAGGATTGTTCTCTCATCCCATCAGTGCAGCACGACCCTTAATGACCCTCACACACATTAACATAACACAGAGTCTCTCAGACTTTGCCTTTCACTTTACCTTCACTCTCGCTGTCTGTGATATATGACTTCCTCATCTCTTTCTTTTACACATACAGTAGAACAGTGGTTCTCAACCTTTTTGACTTCTCACAATGTCCATAATGTTCATATTTTCACATTGGTCACTCAAAGCTACTGTATGTGATGTTAGATGTTCTGGAACTTTCACCAGACTTGAATTCCAATTTCCTATTCTAATTTCAGCCACCAAATTAGACATGCATCCTTTTTCTACAACCCAACACATATTCTGTTCAATTCTATATTTAGGGATGGATCAGGAGAGCAGCAGCACGTCATCTCAGTGTTGTCAAAAGTAGTTAAAAGAAGTTGCAAAACAGCATTTCAAACAAATTAAAATTGATTCTGTAATTGTGGACCCAGCCCACAAATGTAACTAGACTGTGCTGTGTAATTGATCTTGTTTTCAAGAGGCCTATTTTTTGCCCTGTAGAAGTCTCCTGTCCAGTCTGACTCTCAGCACGTTGTTTGTCTCTCTTTCAGGAGGTGGAGAATTTGTTTGTGGTCCTCTCTGCGCTGCTGCACTTGGGAGATGTGCGCTTCACCGCCCTGACAGACGCTGACACTGCGTTTGTGTCTGACTTACAGCTGCTAGATAGAGGTCAGTCGTGCAGCTGCAGCATGAGGCCAGCAGGGGCCGATCTCCTCCACCAGAAGGTCTGAAGGATAGACTGGGGAAGTGGGCGGGTGACTGCGCATCAAGAACTGTGTCACACACCATCCTGGGTTGTTTACATCAGTTCTACCATGGCCTAATAGCAGAATCACTCTCTCTGCCACTCTAATACACACACATACACACTCTGTCATACAATTTTGTGCTAATCGCTCTTTTTAGCCACACACATGCACAGGGTCACCTGTTTCCTTAAGCTCTGAAGAGCAGTGGGGCGGAACAGAAAGGCCACTCGCTGCCCTCTGCGTTACATAATGACACACATAATACTGAGCCTGGGTAAACAAGTGACGTCAGCACACGCAAATACACAAACTGATACATTCACATCCGTATGAGGTTCCCGTCGTTGTGGATACGTGAGATAAACATGCCCCATTATACAATCCACCCGAAAACACACTCAAATTAATGACAGTACACTAGGTGCCAAATGCAAACAGTAATATAAATGCATAATAGGAGGAAGTAAATGGGAGGCCTGGACTCATAGTTGAAAGCAGGACTGTGTATGTGTTAAAACATGATATGTTGACTCTGAAATCTGATTGGATGAGCCACGTTTAAACCCTTTGTTAAATGGTCAGTGTGCCATTTACATACAGTAATGTGAGCTTGTAGAGTTTCATAAGTATTTGTGATTGTAATTATTTATTAGAATTATTTTACAGCATCATGTTTGGAGTAAAAAAAAAATAAATAAATAAAAAAAAAATATATATATATATATATATATATATAAGACTTGTGTGGTTACCAAGGCTGCATTTATTTGATCAAAAATACAGTAGAAATCAGTAATATTGTAAAATATTATTTCAACTTACAATAGCTGTTTTATATTTGAATACATTGTAAAATGTAATTTATTCCTGTAATGTAACGCTAAATTTTCAGCATCATTACTCCAGTCTTCAGTGTGACATGATCATTCAAAAAACATTCTAATATGCTGATTTGCTGCTCAAGGAACATTTATTATTATTTTATTTTGTTATATGTTGTTGTTATTATTGTTATTCTGTTTTTTGTTATAATCTTATATCATCATTATGCTGAAAACATTTATTATGTTTAATATATTTGTGGAAACTGTGAAAAATTACTGACCCCCACATTTTTTTTAGTGGTAGTGTAATAATTATAAATAATATATACAAAAATAAATTAATTTAATTTTACTTTAATTTATTTGCACCAGCAAATTTCTGTTGGATTTAGTGCATAGTTTGAGATGTCAGTGCATACAGTAGTTTTAGGTTTAGATTTCAAAAGACATATTGTATGTTTAAATTTTTCCCAATGGCAAAACCAAGCATTTGGGTGCTTCTGAGCTTTTATTTTATTTTGTTTAATTTCATTTTATTTTGTTTTGACTTCAAACATGGCTCATCCAATCAGAATTTAGATTTGTAACTGTTTGTACTCATATAAATGTGTCTGAATGTGTTTTTTTTTCTGCAGTGGCTGGGATGTTGCAGGTGAGCTCTGAAGATCTAGGCTCTGCCCTCACCTCTGATGTGCAGTGTTTCAAAGGTACAGCCTTCAGTTTACACTTAACCAGCATCAACCAACACATAGACTAAACACGGTCAATTAAAGGATTAATTCACTTCCAGAATAGAAAGTTCCTGGTAATTTACTCACCCCCATGTCATCCAATATGTTCATGTCTTTCTGTCTTCAGTTGCAAAGAAATTGAGTCTCTGATGTCTTTGAGGAAAACATTCCAAGATTTTTCTCCATATAATGGACTTCAATGGTGGCCAACAGGTTGAAGGTCAAGATTGCAGTTTCAGTGCAGCTTCAAAGGGCTCTACACGATCCCAGCCGAGGAATAGGGGTCTTATCTAGCAAAAAAAAATGCATGCACTTTTAAACCACAAATGCACATCTTGCACAGTTGCACTAGCTCCGCGATGCACGTCCGCAAATTAACGCATTACGTAATCACATTGGAAAGGTCATGCTAGGTTAGCTTTTCGCCTGTGTATTCCAGTTCAAAAGGGTAGGGTTTGGCGAAAAACTCCATCTTATTTTCTCCTCCAACTTCAAAATAGTAGAAAGAAAGACATGAACATCTTGGATGACATGTGGGTGAGTAAATTATCAGGAAATGTTAATTCTGGAAGTGAATTAATCCTTTAAAGTCAGCTTGTTTAGGATAACACCGTACATGGAGTAAATCTCACTGCCGGGAGGCCTGCTGACACCGGTCATTGAGATGTACTGGCCTTTGCTCGGTGACAAACTCATCAATGAATGTGGCCTCAAGCATTTGGCCTTGGATTGTGTTACTGGCGAGCCCAATTTGGCTCAATTTGACACAATTGGATAACTGCCTTCTCATTCAAAATACACAGACATAAACACGTAGTTCTTTTGTGAGGTCTAGACTGTGTGCATGTTGTGCCATTATATAAAAAGTGTGGAGTATGTATGAATCACATGATGTCTGGATGTTAACCTAATTCAGCCATCGAGGACACACCGACCTATTGCCTAAAATTACAAGCACACTTGGCATTGTCTTGTGTCTGTCTGTGATTTGTCTCTCTCTGTCCCCTTCGCTTTGTCATGCATCTATGCCTCCCTTTTATAGGGATAGTTCACCCAAAAAACTAAATTCTTGTATCATTTAATCTCCAAAACAATGCATTGGAGTAATATAAAACTGGTCCATATCACTGGTGCACTATATTCCAAGTCTTTTGAACCTATATATTTGCTTTGCATGATAAAAAAGATCAAAATTTGAATGATCTATATTGTCTTAAATTCTTGACATAAGTCCTAGCTCTAGAATTCATGACACAATTAGCCGATTATTTTGAGTCAGATCTTTTCAGTGAATCAGTGTCTGCTCTACCAGGATCAGGAAACCATAAAATGAACCATAAAAACCTCCATAAAATGCGTTGGACACATCGGAATATTTGGGTTGAACTGTTCTGGAACAGTGTTGTAAATACAACTTACAAGAGCTTGTAACACTCCAAAGAGAAAGGAAAAATTGAAATCGCATCATATGACCCCTTTAAAGAATTAATTCGCCACAAAAATGAAAACTAAACACTAAACTAACGCTAAACTTCTTCTGATGGATTCAATCTTGTATGACTTACTTTCTGCTTTGGAACACAAAGTTGTTTAGGAGAGTATTCATGCTGCTCTTTTCATATCCCAAAATTGATAGTGACCATGGCTGTTGAGTTTTAAAAATGACAAAGTCATTATTTAACGTTAGACAAACAGATAGACAGACACCGATTTGATTTGATACCGATTAATCAGAATGACATCTGCTGATATGGATAGTTTGGGTTTTTAAGGGAAAAAAAATCTCTCCCTGCTAATGCGGTAAACTATACGTGGTACATTACTATAAATATTAGAGGTTCAAATTAACAACAGAACTCAAACTATTATATTCAATTTTAATTTACTTATTTTCAGATATGATAATCACACTGAAATAAAAACAGACGTGGTTGTGTTCAACTCAGTTCCACATGTCATCTTCATGTCAGATTAATTCTAGCTTACGTGTATAACTAACAGTAAATAAGCTCTCCTCTAGTGTTTTTTGTGAACACTGAAAATAACTCTCCTGAGGTAAATGTTAAGTGACATTGTTCACAAGCTATTTTATTGATGCTGCTGCTTGAACGATAGTGATCTGTCGCACCACATTTAAAAGCGTCAAAGCGACATTTATTGTTTGAATTGAGAGCTGAGACTTTGTTTTGTTTCGGAAGTAACAAAACACAAAGTTCTTTGGGATTATTGGAAAAGAGGCGCTTTGCAAATAATGTTTAGCGAATGGAAAATCCACAGACCTGGAAACCCTGGCTTGAACTGCGGGTGATTCATAGGGTCAAATAGAACCAGCGTTAACTGCTCTGTTTTTATTTTTTAACTGTGTTAAAGTGAGGTTGTGCTAACTTTGACAGCCCTAAATTCTACACGAGACATTTTATTTACACACTGCATGCGCCCTTTTGATCGACAAGATATAATTGTCCCTGATCATCAACTGTTCTTAAACAATCAGCTGATGTCTAATGTGCAGATAATTGCTTTTATCGTTCGATTCCGATTATTGGCTGATACATCGGTGCATCCCTATATACATATACATAGTGGTGACAACCATCCGAAACACACGTATGACCACCTATGCTAGTCTTTGAGGATGGAAGACAATGTGAAAGGTCACTAACTGCTTGACATTTGCCCTTTGCTTCAGGTGATGTCATAACAAGGCGCCACACAGTCGAAATGTCCAACCATCACAGAGATCTCCTGGCCAAAGCTCTGTACGGTCGACTCTTCAGCTTCTTGGTCAATAACATTAACTTTTACCTCCAAGGCCATGAAGAAAGCACTGGGTAAGATGCATGTATGTGTGTGAGCGTGCACGTGAGCTTAGATTAATGCTTTTATATGGATACGTTTTCCTTTGTGCATGTGAACGTGTCTGAGTGTGAATGAGAGACCTGAATAAAGGAGATAGTTATTGAAAGAACTTAGTTCCTTCATTGTTCCAAAGTGCATTTCAGTGTACATAAAATTTCATTGATGGTTACCAGCTATTTATCTGTATGGATTGTGTGTCTCAGCAGCTCACAGAACATATTCAGCTGTTACTAGTAGAAGCACGAACCAAGTCCTTCTCAGAGACCTTCTGTGATTAACATTAGTCAAAACACAGAGACGTTTTTGAATAATTCACATAGTGTATGTGAGACATCTGCCATAAAGCACCTGAAGGTAAGTTGACAGCGCCAGTAGCGAATGAGCAGGAAGACACACCTCCTCTGCTGTTATTGCATTATGAGAAAGGTATCTCGTGGCTAAAACTGAAATTTCCATGGAACTCCAAGTATGTGTATTCACACACAAACAAGTCACAGTGACTCATCATTCCACACGATTTCACATGCCTCACTATCCGCCAAAAAAAACATAATTAACTTATATTCACCTTTGAAGACATACAAATGTGCACTTGGACAAACAATTATAAACTCGCAGCTTCTCTAATGGCTGTATGCTGTAAATACTTTCAAAATATTGCTGTTTTACTGACTCTAAACTTTTGAATGGCTGTGTGTGTATGTGTGTGTGTGTGTTATATATACATATGTTTGCTACATTGATAATGCAAGTAACTTATTTATTCACAAATTCCAATTCGGACTAACTTTTAGCACTCGGCAAGTATTAATTCTGGACGCTGAATATGGATTGAACTGAAGAAATAATCACACACCCACACAATCAAAACCCATTGTCATTTATTTTTATGAAAGTTTTAGTATTGTAAGAAAACTAAGGTCTCTCTGTACCATTCTGAAGTGTGATCAATAACTGGCCAAAGCAGGCTTGACCTGTTGTGTCCTGGACAGCAGTTCAGTGGACGCCGCTTTGGATTAGGCTAATGTTTATCGATGTGTATATGAGAATGTTTATTATGGGTCGTTGAGGGCATGATGGTTTCCACCATGATGGTCACACCACTACACTGGATTATTGTGACTTTAAACTGAGCTTTGATGTGTTATGTGTAATTGTCTTTCATAAAAAATATTTAGTTTACAAATACTGTGTATTTTTTCCGCTATAAATTTGATAGCAATTATTAAAGTGAATAAATGATTTAAAAATAATTCAAATAAAAAAAAATTTTATAATTAAATTTGTATATTTTACATCTGATTGGTCCATGTTAGAGAGCATTCTGACATGTTGGAAAGCTTAAACACTTCCAGTGACACTGGGTGCTTCTGGTGTAGGCGCGGTGTAACAGTAAATTATGACAGAATTGTCTTGACATAACCTTTTGTTTCTTAAAAAACCTGCATGTACTTGTTTTTTTTTTTCTTGTCAGCGACCTTTAAGTGTTGTTGTTTTTTTTTCTATCTGCTTTTTACATCAGAAATTGTGCACTTAAGCCATACTTAAACTGTGGCTCAAGATAATTTGTTGGTTTCAGGTCACCAATCAATGTTTATACCAGTCCCACCCCTCTACAATCCTGAAATATGTTCCTGTCTTTTTTGACAGTGATCCTGCCCTTGAGATAAGCATCCTGGACATCTTTGGCTTTGAGGAATTCCAGCGCAATGGTTATGAAAAGGTAAGGGGAGACAGCACAGAGATAATGAGGACAATGATAATTACACTTTTAACATCTGATTGTGACCTTTTAAAAGGGTCTTTCATATCATTGTAATGTCACACTGAGGCTAACATTTACAGCCGCTTTGTAAGTGCAGTCTGTTCAGCTTTTCATCCAACTCTAAAAAAAAAAAAAAAAACACAAACTGCTCCTCGCCTTGGACTCTGGGCCTCCTAAACCCTCTGCTGCTCTGTACTGGGTTTGATGTGGAGCTGCCACACATACCAGTGGGAATCAAGGCATTGTGCTCATGATCCTGTTTCCCGTACAGGGGAAAGCACTGACCTATCCCACAGTATGTTCCTGCCTTGGGCTGTGACTTTTTTAGACTTAACGACAGACGGGGTGTTCTTCTGCCGGGTTTTTTCCATGACAAAGGCATTTCAATCTAAGCGAGACAGGTATTTTTTTCTGACTCTGCTCACGCTGACTTTATAGCTTTGATCCAAATCTGGGTGAGCTGCCTGTGTAGACTGTGTATTAAGGCATCATAAGTGTGTTCCCGATGTGAAGGCTGTTCCAAAAACGTAGGCAAGAATACATTGAAACAAGCTCAAAAATTCAACACAATGGGCAATAGAGTGTTGCAGGGATGACATAACTTTGCAAGTTAGCATCATTCCCCAATTACCCAATAGGATTTTTCCATTGACTTTTTGAGCAGAAAATATGCTCTGTGACAAACAAAAGTTTAGATTCTTAAATGTTACGATGACCAGAACTAAAAAGCTAAAGTAAAGAGCTTTAAACAATCTAAATCCTTGATCAGATGACTTCAGTGTCACCAACACTAAGCTTCTGACCATTATTTAAAATCTACAATTTGGAAAGTTTGTATTTGAATAGTTTGTAAGAGCGTAAGTATATATACATTGAGGTTGTGAAAGTAGACTAGTGAGTAGATGAGTTTACCTGTTTGGCGTGATGACGTTTAATGTCCCATGTCACGGGTGGGGTATTACTGATGCATTTTATGTCATAGAGTAAAATGTGAAAATATATTAAGCTTGTGATATTCACAGATCTTATTTCAGTCATTTAACCAAAAACCCATTCAATATACCTATTGACTTCAGGGTGATGGAACCAGAAATGCTCAAATTAGAACTCATTTCCAGGTTTTAGGATGGATTCCAGCAGCACTTCATGTAGATTAGATTATAAAAATACTTAATTCATCTCTGAATAATAGTTCAAAACTGACTATTAATGCTTAATTAATAAGCAGTTGTTGGTATTAACATGTTAAGTGTTCTAAATCAGTCAGAAAGGCAGCTTTCTAGGTTTCTGTACAGAGCTTATATGTTTGACTGTACGTCCCAGAGAGGTCAGCTGAGGCGAAACGGAGTGACAATTAAACTTTAAATTGTTGTGAAACCATTACTGCATTAGTTGTGGCCGTACTTCACAGAGCTGTTTTATTTTGGACAGTAGCCCGGAGCCAAAGCCAGACCCAGACGCATAGCTGGGTGTGCCATGTATATTACATAATTTTATTTATTTTTTTCAAAATCTGAAGAGTAGCATGAAATAAAGCAGCTGCTGTCAAGACCCCGAGCTGTGTTATTTTAGTGTTTTGTAGAGAGACAAATGTCCGTCTGAAGGCTAAGACGCCACATGTGCGCACCGCCCCCTCTTAATTCATCTCTGAATAATAGTTCAAAACTGACTATTAATGTTTAATTAATAAGCAGTTGTTGGTATTAACGTTAAGTGTTCTAAATCAGTCAGAAAGGCAGCTTTCTAGGTTTCTGTACAGAGCTTATATGTTTGACTGTACGTCCCAGAGAGGTCAGCTGAGGCGAAACGGAGTGACAATTAAACTTTAAATTGTTGTGAAACCATTACTGCATTAGTTGTGGCCGTACTTCACAGAGCTGTTTTATTTTGGACAGTAGCCCGGAGCCAAAGCCAGACCCAGACGCATAGCTGGGTGTGCCATGTATATTACATAATTTTATTTATTTTTTTCAAAATCTGAAGAGTAGCATGAAATAAAGCAGCTGCTGTCAAGACCCCGAGCTGTGTTATTTTAGTGTTTTGTAGAGAGACAAATGTCCGTCTGAAGGCTAAGACGCCACATGTGCGCACCGCCCCCTCCTGCCCAGTATCCTCAGTAGCCACGTCCACTGTGTGAGATGTGTTTTTGTACTGGACAGATGAGGTTGACGTTTGAGAATCGGGGGGTGGGTTTCTCCTCAGCTGAACCCTTGGCATCAGACACAAAGGAGTCTCTGTGCACGGTCGGGTTTGACCCATGAACCATCGGCCAAGATTTGGCACCAACCAATGTCATTGTTGTCATAGACTCTATAGGGAAGATGCATGAGGAAATTTAGGGACACTGTAGAGTAATGGTTCATATATAACAGCTCCTGTCTGAGCTGGTCATCCACTTCCAACTGTTAAACCAGCTGAGGATCTACATGGAAACTCTTGCTGGAGAGAGAAAAAAAAAAAGCTTAAACCAGCCTGAGTTGATTTGCTGGTCTTAGCTGGTTTTAGATGGTTCTGTCTGGTTTTGCTTGATGGCCAGCTAGTCACATGGACAAACCATTTAAGAGTAGCAAACGGGCATAGACTGGTTTGAACTATTTCCGTGAGCGCCACCAAGTTGTGGTTTTGTGTAACAGCTCCAGGCATGTGACCAAAAGCACACAATCTTATTGGTTGGTCAGCTTTAATCACAGGACGATGGAATAGAGATTAAATGCCTCTCTGTAAAAATTTCCTTTGCGTTGACGTGATGCAACTGTTCATCCGAATTAAAATGTTTTTTGCATCAAATTTTAAGACCGAACATTCGTCTTGGTGTGAACCAAGCCTACCTTTAGACCAGTATTTATGTTCAAGCTGGTGGATCAGCACAGCCAAGCTGAATACTGCAGACATTTTGTTGACATATGATGCGATTTCAATTTTTCCTTTCTCTTTGGAGTGTTACAAGCTCTTGGTGCATAAAGAAGATCTGTAAAGTTGCAAAGACTAAAGTCTCAAATCCAAAGAGATATTCTTTATAAAAGTTAAAGAGTCAGCCATGCCTACCTAAAACGGCTCGTTCTAACACGCCCCCACATACCTACGTCACGATCTGGGAAGATTTGCATAAAGCCGCCCAAATGTTCACGCAAAGAGTCCCCATCAGTCTAGACGAGGGTCTTTATTTGTATATGTGAATCTGTTCTTTCTGTGACAGATATTTATCTAGACAACTGTTGAGAGGTTGGCAGGTAGGAGTGTGTGTGTGTGTGTGTCATTGCTTAATATCTTCCTTGACAGTGTAGGACAAGGTGTAAATCAGGATTGGTGCTGGAAGAGATAAGTGCTTACCCACAATCCCCTGGGAGATCTCCTTGAGATGGTGTGTGTGACAGGTTGGGGAATGCTTACGAGACACCGAGATGTCGATTGCTTGTCTTCTAAATGGTACGCACCTATAATCCACATGTGAAGGAAGATTTACGGTCTTTGACCTTTGAAGGTCACAAGAAATGAGAAAAAAACAAAAAAACAAATGAGGGGCGAGTGACTGTGATTAAGATGCGAACTAGGTATTTAATGCCCACTTGGAGCATACCAATAACAATACAAGTATCAAGTAGTCCCACGTTTGAGATCTTTTCTCCATGGATGGACTTTTTTGCTCAGTGCTCTGGAATTCTCCCACTTTTTCTCCAAGCTCTTCATCTCAGCTCTGATCTTTTTCTTTCATGATGTGTGCAGTCTTCCTCTGACATCCTGTAGCGCTGTGAAACCTCATGATGAGAAGTTGATGAGGTGCACCCAGCTTTTCTAAAATGCCTGTTTTCTTTCCTCTCCATTGCTTCCACTGTTGCCGTCTGTACTTCATCCAGTGCGTGTTGCCACGTTAAACTTGGAAAACGCTTATGTTGATACAACCGTGCCGTATACTTCCCTCCGATGGACTTAGCGGTATCAAAACAGCTCCATCATGTACGACCTTAGCTCTTCTGAGAAAGCTATGAAAAACATATCTCAAATCAACAGCCAGATGGTTTGAAGTTGAAGTGTGGCTGAAGAATTATTTTGCTTGGGAGAAGGCCACCATCTACTCTTTCTACTCCATCAGAAATCGTACCTTTTGTCCTCATGGAAAAGCTTCTATGGCCTCCTGTGTAGTGTTAAGCACTTGGTATATGCCTTATATGGATTGCCACTGTGGTTCCTGCTTTGGCTTTTTAGACTTCCTTCCATTAGGGTTCCTTGTTTTTAACTTTCATCTCAGCACGATTATGGTGATAAATGATTTAAATGATTCCAGCAACTGGGTTGTTAGGATGAATTCCTGGAATAAACCCGCTCACTGAAGCGTGTGGAACAGTGAGTGAATGGGTGCAAGGGGTTAATGTTGAACGCTTATTATAGCCATGTTCGTTAAGAGGTAATTAACGTAAATACCAGCTCTTTGTGTACAGATAAAACTGCCTGTCATATAGCTATTGTTTGGAAAATATGTGTAATGCTAAATATACTTCACAAGTGTGCGCTTTATTTTGCCTGATAAAGCACATGAGCTTGCTTCCTAAAAAGTAGTCATATGCAGCCCTAATACACTGTACTCAATCCTTCCCTTTTTGATACAATTATTATTATATATGTACATGTAATATATATACTCTACATTTTAACTTTATTTTAATCTTTTTTTTATCTTTTTTTTTTTTTTTTACTTTTTTTTTATCTTTTTGTAAAATGAAGATCACATTAAAACTGTAAAACGTTTTTCTAAGCTTTCATCATTAATATTTTTCTACTTTTCAGATGTTTTTAATATATAGAAGTTAATGTTTTACCCTGGTTCCTAACCCAGATCTTAAAGGGATAGTCCATCTAAAAATGAAAATTCTGTCATCATTTACTCATCCTTAAAGAGCAAATTAAAGGCAGAGTAAGTGATTTCTGGTAGCCAATGTTGATATTTGAAATCACCAAAACAAACACGCCCCTACCCCAAAAGGGTCTTGCCCCTATTTTGATAGCTCCGCCCCACATATACGTACGCAACCCAGGCAACGATTAGTTCTGTGAAACAATGCAAAACCAATGTTACACCGTGTCTATGGACGTGAGCGGCGCAGCGCGGCGCAACAAATCCCCGACAGAAAACTGCTGCCGGGTTCTATTTATGACGTGCTGACACAAATTTCAAATGGTTTTCAACAGTCGTTTGATCGCGTCCAGTGTAGGCAGACTTTAGCTGTTGTAGACATGGTGTCTACATGTATGTATGTATGTATGTATGTATGTATGTATTGTGTGTGTATAAGTGGTTTATATCTATTTTAGCACACACTGCAATTATAGTAATATAATATATTATAATTGTATATAATAGCTTAATTTCCACCACAACGAACAATAGTTTGTTTATTTATTATTTATTTATTTAATGTACTTAAAGAAAACAGTGTCAGTAGAAAGCTAGAGATTAAATATAAAATATGTGATGTGTGAGGAAAAGAAAAAATCAAAGCACATCAGAAGAGAAGACAATATTTTCACCAAGTGTAATTTCAAGTAAAGTTGTACATTTATAAAATTGTGGAAAAAAAACTAAACAATGACTTGAGATGCACTAGAAATGACACTGTGGTGGAAATGACTTTTAGAAAACTGACAGAACTATTCTGCAAATCCACTCATACCCACTCCACTCTTAAACCTCCACAGGGGCAGAAGTGTCCTTAAATATAAAATATGTGATGTGTGAGGAAAAGAAAAAATCAAAGCACATCAGAAGAGAAGACAATATTTTCACCAAGTGTAATTTCAAGTAAAGCTGTACATTTATAAAATTGTGGGAAAAAAAACAAAACAATGACTTGAGATGCACTAGAAATGACACTGTGGTGGAAATGACTTTTAGAAAACTGACAGAACTATTCTGCAAATCCACTCATACCCACTCCACTCTTAAAACTCCACAGGGGCAGAAGTGTCCATAGTTAAGGAGTGACTTGCCCTACATGATTAAATCAACAATTTATGAATTTAATGAGAAGCACTGTTTGACCACGTCAACAAAGGTGTATAAACATGAAAAATGAAGTGATTGATCAGTGCGTCACTGAAAGTGTATTTTATTCTGTTAATAAGTAAAATGTCCATACGCCGTGGCTCAACAAAGGCTTTTGTGGTTTTGTTTATGTAGCTGTGCGTGAACATGGTGAATGAACGGATCAGGCAGTTCACCGCAGACGTGCTCTTCCAGCAGGAGCGACAGGAATGTCTGCAGGAGGGGGTTGCCATGGAGACGCTGCGCTCCCTCGGCAACCAGACAGCGGTGCTGGACTTCTTCTTCCAGGTACGCAGTCAGAGCGGTTTTCCGAGAGCCGTGGAAGGAGGGAGGGAGGGAGAGGAAAGAAGTTGGAAAGCTTTTCCCACCCTGAGGCTGCTGTCCCTGTACAAGAGCCCCTCTGTTGCCTCTTTAATTGATGTTACTGCCGTCTCTTCAATTACTGACTTAATAACGGATGTCCTCGCTGACTGTTTTATAAAGACTAACACACATCCAGACGTGTTGAATTCCCTTAGGTGTCGCAAAGATGTGATAAAGCCCATCTTTTAGACTATGACTTTATTAGCCGTTTGTCAGATGTGATCCTTTTATGAGTCTTGAAATGACCAAGTGACACAGCATTTTACACACAGAAGCACATTTTCTCTTGCCACACACACATTTGTGCTCTACCTCACTATATATATTATATTATTCTGTGTACATTTAAATGGGTTTTATGACAGTCTGTTTCAAGCTTTCACATATATGTCCCTTACTGATAAACAGCCCCAACATGTTTGCTACATTTGTTTTCAAAGATTTAGAAGGTCTGTTTATTTTGCATTACCAAAAAAATAATAATAATAATAAATAAATAAATGATGTGAAGGTACATGGTGAGTTTACAACACTGATGTTTTTTTTTATTTACAACATTTATATAACAACATTTCTTTGTCATGTTTTTTTATTTATTTTTTTGTTGTTTTGATTTGATTATTTTGTGTTTTGTTTCTACTTTTTTTTTGCAGACTAGTTCTTTTTAAACAGTCCTGCAGTGTGAAACATGCTTTTTTAAAGATAGAATTATTGAAATAAAATACAATTATAATTGCTCAAATAATATGACTATAGAATATGCATACATAATTCTAAAGTATTATAAAATATTAAGAAAAAATGATGTAATAGGAAGTTATGCACATGATGTCATGCCAACCACAAGATCAGAGTACTAAATGTCAGCTACACATTTTAATGTAGTATTGTGTGTAAAAAAAATTAATAAATAAAAATAAAAAACACCATCAAAATACCAATACCATCATGCTTTTTAAAAGATGTACAATATTTCCATACAGTTCTTGTTTATGTAGGCCTATTTCCTTTGATGGACTGAAACAATTAAGAGAAAATAGGGGCAAATAACACACAACACTCAGCAGTGTTTCTTTGTTCTTCTTTCATGATTTTGCTTCAGTTCGTACACTGTATATTATTATTATTATTATTATTATTATTATTACACTGCTCACTGGAATACTTGATTCTGATTGGTCAATCCTTCCATTCTGCAGTCAAGTATTTTTATAATATTATTTTATAATAGGCACTGAATACTAGGGTTGTAACCAGGGTTTGAAATTAGCTTTTTCACTCACCAGCCAAATTGGCTACTACGTTTTTAAGTCACCGGCCATTCATAATTTCTACTAGCCAAAAAAATTAAACAAATAAATTATGAAAAAAAGCCAGACGTAAGCCAACAGCTTAAAGGGGTCATATGATGCGATTTCATTTTTTCCTTTCTCTTTAGAGTGTTACAAGCTCCGTTTGCATCATGGTTTCAGAGTCACGGTTTCAGTACGGTTCGGTGTGTGCTATGTTTAGGGGAAAAAATGACTATTCTGTCAGATAAAAATAAAGAAAATAAGAACAAATAATCTAACTACAAGCAACAGCACAAATAAATACAATAGAGCAAAGATGCAAATAAAATAAAAATGCTTTTCAGGTTATTTTAAGTAGGTCTAACATTAGTTTTTAGGTACAGAAATTGAATAAAGTAATCAAATGTAAAATAACATTGCATATTTGACTGTATAAATTAAAGATTAATCCTTATTAAAGTTACAAAAGTTATTCAATCTGACTTGATAAATTAAAGATTAATCCTTATTAAAGTTACAAAAGCTATTCAATCAAGAGCAGTGAGTGATTTCCTTGTCTTTTGTTGTTTGATTAACATGAAAAAAGTGCTGTCACTTGACAATGCACGGATCCAGTACACTAATACTGTACGTTCAACCAGCTATGTCTGCTAGGATACTCGCCAAGACGGGCATGTTGACATCATTTTTGTGTGAAAGAGAAATCAATATTTGCACACTGAGACCTAAACGCGCGGGTTTGTCAACACCTGGGTGCTGACGACAGCATAAATGTCTGGTCATATTCCAGCATACGGCACTCGCATTAAACAAAGTTTACAAAGCGTGACTGGTTTGTCCACATTGTTTTGTTCATCGCTGTTGTTGTAATGTATTGGGAAGCCAGAATGTGTATCCATCGACAGAAACATACATTAGCCAAACTCTGTCTGTTTTACATGTTGTTATTAGCCCTATTACAGATGCGTCGTCAGATTTAAGTTGAACCGTGGGTGGAGAACGGTATGGTTCGATTTTTTACTGAGAACCGTTACACCCCTACTGAATACTATCATTTACTGTTGTCCCACATTTTTCTAACTCAGCTGTGCTTGTGTTTCATGTGTGTTATAGCACTCTATATAGCAGTCTTTTTCTTCTCACATAATACAATAATTTAAACTCAGATTTTTTAAAAGTATTGTTTTCTGTGTAATATGCAGGAAAATGTACTGTCAACCAGTTATTATAATAAAATAAACACCTTCAGACTTTTATTTGTTATATATATATATTATTTTTATTTTTTTTGTGAAATTGACCATCCTACTGTACACAGCGTAACTGTGTGTGTGTGTGTGTGTGTGTGTGTGTATTACAGAAGCCTCAGGGTGTGCTGTGCATCATTGATGAGGAGAGTCAGTCCCTCAGGCCATGTGAAGTCAAACTTTATAAGCGACTGCAGATACAGCTGGATTCCTCTGGTACAGACGCCGTCTCACTCACGACCAAGGATGGCAACGGGAACCCCCCACCCAAAGACCAGGGGCCATCATTTACTGTCACTCACTATGCCGGCAAGGTGGGTTACGGGAAACTGCGAGTTCACACATGCACATGCTGAGTTCACGGTCATGTGCTCAGCCGGAGCCTCACACACAAACACAAACCCACAGTCACACACTTCCGAGAAGCCCTCCAGAGAGTCAACACGCTATGTCATGCTGAGAATGAGGGCTATTATTAGCGCTGAACTCATATGTGTGTTTGTGTGTCCTCTATTGCAGGTGACCTATGACCTGACCGGCTCACTGGACAAGAACAAGGATGTTCTTCCCCAAAACATCTTGTTTGTTATGAAAAGTAAGGATTTGGAGTTTTGTGTTCTAGTCAACCTCTATATGGTCAAAAAACTCACCATGGTAACTGTAGCACCCATCAAAATAGCTTAGGTACTATAGTAGGGTTGTGACGGAGAGGAAATCTTCCCACCGGTTAATCGAAGTGTGGGAAGGGGTAGTTCGCTGGAGTTTTCCCTCTTTTCCTTGCTTTTCTTTGCTTTTAAATAGCCCGTGTGCATTTTACTTTACTTAAGCGAATTAGTGGCATTTTGGCGTCAATTGCTTGAATGGACAACAACAAAACAGTACAACAACAAGCTCACTTATATTAAACATAGAACTTTTGTTAACAAAACAAATAAAAATACACCATGCTAGAGGGCCTAATATAAAATAAATAACTTACACAAAGTTTAATTATAAAAAACTGAAAATCAGCAAACACTGTGGAACCAAATATATAAGAAACGGAATGTTTATTAGCAAAACAAATAAGAAAGCTTGGGCGCATGGCATACACCTTGATGTAAAATGAAATAAATAAATTACACGAAGTTTAAATAAAGTACAAATCAGCAAACACTGTCGAACCAAATAAATAAATAAGAAACAAATAAACAGTAAAAGTCAACAGGCTTTTCAAAATCCAAAATATTGCCAAACAGGCGCTTTCGCATTTCATTTCGAAACTAAATCTTCTGGCATCGTCTAGTCTTTCTCACCTCACTCTTCTTGGGTTAAGGCTAGATGGGATACAGCTACAGCCACTGGGCATGCACACATCAATATTGTGTAATTTTTGTCACGCTGAACAACAGTAATTATTGTATTTGCATTATTGTAAGGGGTAGGTTTAGGGTTGGGAAAGTTATAGCTGTTAATAAAATACAATCTAATAGGTAGCAAATTAAATGTATTGTTACTTTCCGGCCGTTGCTGTATCCCTTCTAACCACAACCTTCTTCATGTGAGTCAGCTCCACTCACTCTCCTGACGTGATAAATGAAATCTGAATCCTGCTGCTGCTCTCTGATGCGATTGAGCAGCTGCGTTCAGTTTTTAATTGTATTGTATGTTCTCTAATAACTGAACTAAGTGATTTTTATTACTATAAAAATATCAAAACGACGGTGAGGGGCAGTGCCGCGGTGGGCAAGTGATGTAACCGATGTAGCAACTTAACACCGTCAACACAGACTATCGCAGCAAGCCTATACTATAGTTATTGCTACTATAATAAAAGAAAAGGAAATTACATATGCACGGAGATAACGTATTCATTCACTACCATACAACAGTTTGGAGTTTGCAAGATTTAAAAAATATTTTAAAAGAAGTGTCTTATTCTCACCAAGGCTGCATTTATTTGATCAAAGCTACAGTAAAACAGTAATATTGTGAAATATAATTTCAATTTAAAATCACTGTTTTCTATTTTAATATATTTTAAAATGCAGTTCATTCCTGTGATGGTAAAGCTGAATTTTCAGCAGCCGTTACTCCAGTCTTCAGTGTCACAAACAGTTGTGCTGCTTAATATTTTGTAGAAACCCTGATACATTTGATTTCAGCACTCTTTGATGAATAGAAATTTGAAAACGACAGCATTTATTTGAAATATCAATCTTTTGTAACAATCTAAATATCTTCTCTGTCACATTTGATCAATTTAATGCATCCTCGATGAATAAAAGTATTAATTTCTTTAAAAGAAATCGTACTGACTACTTAGGTAGCATTTTAATGCATCATAAATGCATATCTGAAACCAAAATCAGCATGTGATCAACATTAATGATACTTCCTTTCAGCCAAATGCTAAGACTGCTTACCTTGTATCCTTTGTGATGAATGCACTCCCATAATGCATTGCCTTGAGTGAAAAATATCCATCCAAGATGGTGAACGATTTGAGAAGTACTGTTAAACATAGTTTAGTGTAATTACAAATGGATTATTTTACCCAATATTTGTTTGTGCTGAACTTATTAGTGGATAAGTTGTTAGCTTCGCAACATTCTAGACTGTTTAAAATCAGTAGTGAGTCAGATCTTTTGTGTGCTTCATGTAAAGAGCGTTGCATGTAAGACAAAAAAGTATAGTGCTCAAAATAATTTACTTATGTGGTTAGTTAGTGTTGCTACTTGGCTAGTTACTCCCCAACATTGTGGACATGTGAACTGTGATCTTAACATGTGTACCTGCTGCAGTGCATTTCGTGTAAATTTTAGCATTCGCCCTCACTCTATACACCTCCTCCTCTCCCCATGTTTAGCAGCTCAGAGGTCAACATGAGGCAGGAGCGTGTGCTCACGTAGAGATTTGAATGGGGTGCTGTTATGTTGTTTGTGGGGGATGATGAAAATGAGGGGAGACAATTAGCTCTGGTGCCTGGCGTAATTAAGCTCCAAACGTGTATAGCCTTGTGTTTATTTTCTCTCTCCATCTCTCTCTTCCCCCCCTGAGCAGCAAGTGAGAACGTGCTCATCCATCAAATGTTCCAGTGTAAGCTGACTCAGACGGGCTCATTGGTTCCCCACCACCAGCGACTGAAGCTCCGCGGGCCCAAAGGCACTTTGCTTAACAAGAGCACTACGCTAAATCCTGCCAGAGACGCCAAGAAATATGTGGAATTGAACAAGGTACCTAATACAATAGTGGAACCTTCACAGCCTATTGGCACCAATTTCAATTTTTAACCTAATTATTGATAAAGTATTTTTTATATAGAAAATATTTGTTAACACTTTATAATAGGGAACACATATTCACTATTAACCAAGAGTGTTCCCTGAACAAACTCCTAATTTGCTGCTTATTAATAGTTAGTAAAGTAGTTAAGTTTAGGTATGAGGTACGATTAAGGGATCTAAAATATGGTCATGCAGAATAAGGTATTAATATGTGCTTTAGAAGTACTAATAAACAGCCAATATGCTAGTAATATGCATGCTAATAAGGAGCTAATTAATAGCGAGAATTGGTCCTTAAAATAAAGAGTTACCAAATATTTATTTACTTTGTTTGTTTGTTTAAATAAATATATTACTAGTAAATTTTTATTGTACAATTATTATTATTTATATTTACATTTTAAATAACCTTTTAAAATACATGATTTTATAATAATATAAAAAATATATATATTTGCATGAAATTCTAATAAAAATAATACATTTCATATAATATTTCTATATGTATGTATTTGTTTTCTTTTTATTGTGACACTGGAACCTTCACAGCCTATTGAAACCAATTTCATTTTTAACACATTTATTTATAAAATAATTGTATATTTAAGTATCTGTTTGTTTACTTTTTTGTGACAACGTATTTTGTATTGTAACTAAAACAAAATGATTTGTTGAGAGAATGGAGAAAACTCAGCACTGGATTTGGACTTTGAAAAAATATTCTTGGAATATTCAACAAGTCAGTCAGAACAAACCGTGCCTTTTCACGAGCTGTAGTATTTTTAGCTTATCAAGTCTGCGCTGGGAAGTGACCTAGATTAGACAACGTTACCCTAAATACATTCTGTCCATTGATCAGCTTTCCACAGCCAGATATCCCATTCAGAGAAAACACAGGGCTTTAACCGACTGCGTCACACCAGGCACAAACACACACGGATGCGTCACTTGGGGTGTTTGCTCTTCACACAGCTGCGTTTCTCAATCACCCTCCTCCCTTTTCTTCTCTCATTCTGTGTTTCTCTCCAATTTCAATGATGTGCAGTCAATTTCATTCTCGCCGTTTCTTTTTCCACTCTCTCTCCGTCACAGATCTGAGATGACTTCTAGGGTAAATCTCACAAAAAAACGCATCAGCTGAGGATCCAGAATTCATCTAAACGTTTCGTAAAATGTTTAAATTAAATTCTAAGTGTGTATTTATATTTGTGTGTGTATATAATACATAGTGATTATTTTTATTGGCTTTGCAATTTTGTGTTAAAGCAAAGTGTATAAATACATTATGAAACTATCAGATTAAGAACCATATAGAATTAAGACATTTGTGTGAATATTAGCTGTTTTACAACTTTGCACGTGTCTCGTCCAATCATATTGCATTGTACGGAGCCCTGTGCATAATGTGGAGAAAAAAAGAAGACACTGCAAATGATTCGTGCTTAGTTTGTTTGGGGGG